TTGTAATAAGATGAATCAAATAAAATCAAGCTCAATTTAATTGCCAAATACTTAACTGAAAATTCGGAAAATCTCTGTAATTTAAAGATTTCCATGGAAGCATGACAAGCTGATATACTCGTACATTTAAAGCGAAAGCAATATTATTTAATCGCTGAAATAACATGGCTGTCAAAAGCAGCTTTGGATTGTAGCTACTCTCTTCATAAAATAATATTAAACCATACATGTGTATGTATGTACATACATATAGGTAGAGTTGCCAGATTTTTTTAAGCACGAAATCAGTACGTTGGACTTTTTCATGCTAAAAAAATCAGTACTTTTCAGTACACTTTTATTCAAAGCAAAATTACGAGTGTACATAAGTAAACTATAATACTCTAAAACGCTAGAGTACTTGTTGAAAAATAAAAGTGTTACTTATTTTAACATGAGTGTACACATCGTTGTACACAGAAGTTGCGATATATTGCCAATAAATTATTTTATATTTTTTTTTTTTTTTTTAATAGCAATAATGAGATCGTCTCCATCTTCAGTGTTTAAATAGTCAAAGACTTCTATACATTTCATTTTAAAATTCCTTTTAATTTGAAATTCACTTTAAAAATTTTAATTAGAAACCGGTTTCTCTCTTTGCATCAGAAAGCAAATTTTATACTTAAGATCCTCTCAGTTGCTTCATTTGAGTGCGGCATTGAAAANTATTTTAACATGAGTGTACACATCGTTGTACACAGAAGTTGCGTTATATTGCCAATAAATTATTTTATATTTATTTTTTTTTTTTTAATAGCAATAATGCGATCGTCTCCATCTTCAGTGTTTAAATAGTCAAAGACTTCTTACATTTCATTTTAAAATTACTTTTAATTTGAAATTCACTTTAAAAATTTCAATTAGAAACCGGTTTCTCTCTTTGCGTCAGAAAGCAAACTTTATACTTAAGATCCTCTCAGTTGCTTCATTTGAGTGCGGCATTGAAAAACAAAATAACATATTTTTTTTAGACTATGGAAACGTACCACTATTTAAAGACTTCATCCATATTTCCTCATGGCTTAAATTATTTTTTTCAAATGCGCAAAAACTTCAAAAGGCTAGGAATTCGCTAAAGAAAAGTATCTAATGCATCGAGATGTCTTGTATGCAAAGCTCTTTTATAATGTCAGTAAATTTTGAAAAAAGAGGATTGAAAGTTATAGGCAAAAGTCATTCGAATATTAAAATTAAAATATTAAACTGAAAGATATTATCGATATAACTAACAACACTCGACAAAAAACGTCATCCTTCTTTTTAAATAACTTAAGCTCCATCATATTATCGCAACTGGTACGTAACGACCCGGCAATGTGCCCATAAAACGATTGATCTTTTTGTTGTATTATTTTCTTGGGCATCTCAAATATTATTTGAAACATGTCAACTGTAATTAAATAATTTTCTTCTTACTTTTTACAGTGCAGTTTAAACAAGTTCGAACGTTATGTAAAAACCTTAAGAAAATCCTAAAGTATTTTATTTGAATTGAAAATTCAGTAGAAATCAGTACACATTTTGAAAAATCATGACATTAGCGTACTGATTGAAAAAATTAATAAAATCAGTACAAGAGTTGAAAAATCAGTGCTGTACTGATAAAATCAGTACGTCTGGCAACCGTACATATAGGTATGTTATGTACATAAGTACGCCCGTTTATATAATCATGCGTTTGAATGTATACAAATATGTCAAAGTATGCATACATACTATGTTTGTACACATTTACTTTGATAATCAAGTTGTGTTCTTCGCCTGCTCCTGTGACACATTTGGTATGTTTACATTTAATTAAACATTTGTCAGTTAAGCAATTAATGAGCACACTAGAGCGAAAAACAATACAAAATTATTTATATCCATAAGTGTATTATGTACATTTATGTATTTATATGGGCTTTTCTTTAAATACTTAGATCAAAAAATAAAATATAATGGTATTACAATGGGCTCATGGCGGCTTAAGTATGCCTAATGTGATCAACTATTTCATAGCTCAAAGAAATACAGGTGAGATTGGGTTAAGTTAAGGTGGTTGCCCTAGTCAAGGGACACAGTTGTACAATTAAGATACCACGAAAAAACTGAACTGATAACCTTAATTAGTCGACGAAAAGCCGTGAGCCGATTACCAAATTTCGAAAGCGTCTAATTTCGATCCCTCAGAGCTTAACGTTAGTTAGGAAGTGCGAGCCAAAATGCTTCCCTGTTTGCCTGCCGAAGGTTGGATAGTCTAAAAGAAAATGTGGAGATGATTCCACCTCACCTTCCTCCTGACAGCTGATACCAAAAGGATCACTAGCCCTTGGGAGGTACCGTATTTTTCGGCAACTTTAAGAGGAAACGAAGGGGCACTTGTGTCTTGCGCTGCAAAAAATATTTTAAAGTGCCCTATAAACACACTCGCTTTCTTTTGTCCATTTTATTAGGTATTTCAATATATACGAAGTACGCGTGTTATTATAGCGCTTGCTGAGCTAACACTAGAGCCCACCATCCAAGAGCGTACCGCAGGAGGACAAAGGCGTCCCTAGTTACTACTTATCTGGAGATAACGTTTTAAGGGTGCTTTTCCGACGCCAGGTCATCAGCCACGCCGTTTCCCTAAACAAGTCTTACTAAGAAGTACTCCGAAGTGATTGATAGAGAGGTCAGATTTTCCTTTACCGATTTCGAGAGCATCACCCTTTCGGGGTGTGTCAACCACTTCTTTGATGGCAGCTATTTCCACCTGAAAGACACGGCAGAAGTCTTGAAGTCTGAACATAGTTTTGGTGAAGAGTTTCCAACAGAAGAAACCTCCACCAACCCTGTCTCCAAGTGTTGATCTATCCGTGAAGAAGTTCACCGCTCCCTTCTTCGAGTAACACCGCCCTATCTAGTCTTCTCTTTTGAGAGAATGTAGATAGAGAAGGAGCTTCTGGGAGCTATTTCGGAGGCGCTGTAATCTATGTGCTCAAGTCAAATCCCTCAAGAACTCCAGAGTACTACAACCCGGTTTCCCTGAGCCTAATAGCAGTTCGTGCTGCGACAATTCTGTCTGTTTTTTCTACAAGTTTAGTTTAGTTGATTCCTCCAGACATGGGCTCCGCGGAATAAGACAAGAAACACTCCGCCGCAACAGTTCTATCACGAAGTAAGCTGCAAATAAGCCTTTTTAGATTGGTTCCAACCGCCAGATTATGAATAGACTTGACTATGTCCTCTAGAGTGACATTGTTGAAGGCCCCCTCGATATCTAGAAATGCCACTACCTGCATAATCTTTATGCATGGAGGCTTCCTCTAACCACATTAGCATTATGTGCAGGGCGATATCTGCCGAGCTTTCCTTGCAATAAGAATGTTGATCTTTTGATAGACACACACGAAGAATCGCGTTTCTTATGTACAGGTCTATCAGTCTCTCTGGCGTTTTTAGCAAAAACGAAGACAGACTGATAAGTCTAAAATCTCTAGGAGAAACCTGAGAGCCTTTTCCGGCCTTCGGAACGAGCGCAACACTGACTACGCTCGAAGCCATGGGAATCTACCCAGTCCTCACGCAGTTCTCATAAATAGGAGCCAACCAATTGCAGGGCCCTTTGCAAGCGCGCAGGTATGATGCCGGCGGTCCCCGGCGACTTGAAGCGTTTAAACGAAATTACCGCCCAGGTAATGTCACGATCGTCAGGAGATCGAAGAAGTACAAAATATCGCAAAGACGTACATTTGACTGTACTTCGAAGTACGAAGTACAAGAGCTATGAAAGAAGTACTGTACTTCCGAAAGAAGTACGGTTGGTCACATTAAGTATGCCTCTCTTTAATACTGGACGAGGATCAGTAAATTACAAGACACCTAACCAAACTTTTAGTTTACGAGCGGCTAACACCCCAAATTAGTTATGAATTGCAAGTCGATGTCAAGCTCCAGGGACAAGTCAAACTAACATACCACTCGTCTGTTAGTACATGTGACAACTAAAGAGTTGACGAATTGCATTCGAAGTACATATGTACATGTTGTTGTTCACAAAGAGCAATTAAGAAAGAAATGAATTCACACAGCGAAAAAAAATCTTAAAGTTCAACGGAAATTTTGAGCGGATTTTTTTGTATTAATAGTTATGTAGGTATGTATTATGGTATAAAATAAGCTATTCAAATAATGCGCCTCTAAGAATGCAATTAAGTTAGATTTGAAAACTTAATTAACCGCTAAGGCTAGCTTATTGCAAACGCATATAAGAATATTTATAAGAGATAAGCACATTTGCAAATGTAGTGCATAATTACATATGCATACGTTGGTACGCACATATTCACATAAGTGTATTAAAACTTTTCGATATGTACATATATATCCGTATTTTTAAAATAAAGAAAACTATTACCTCGCTAAAAAAATATATATACGTATATATATATAAGACCTCCACATATGTCATACACGCGCCACATACTTTCATATCATCATCATATCACCATAGTTTTATGTGCTTATAAATACATGTAAATACATATATATGTAGGTATATACCATTGCAAAAAAAAACACAGGACACCCTTCACAAATCCCCAAACATTCCAACCTTCAAACAAAGTGTAGAATAGTTTATCAGCATAACTTTGTCAGAACCAGTGGCATAGCAACTGTAAATGATTTTGATTGCAAGTGAAGTAAGAAGTATAGATACATATAAATTTTTGAACTAAATCAAATACTCACGTAAGCAACATAACGCAGTTTAAGGGACTTAAGTCAAGCAAAGAAAGGCGTAATACAAAAAGTAGCACTTTATTAGTTAATGCAAGCACAGAAAAAAATAAAAGTCAAAGCGAAAAATTTAAATTTTTCAAACAAATTTAAAAATTCGTGCTACAAAAACGTTTTGCAAAACTTAAACAAGAGAAAGAATTACTTAAATTCCATTGATTACGCTATAATCATGTAATTATATATACATATAGCGCGGATGAGGGATTCGATGGCACGTATCACACCAACATTGTGGTCAAACATAACGGCAGTTGTCTGTACGTGCCCCCTGGTATCTTCAAGAGCACATGCAAGATAGACATCACGTGGTTCCCATTTGATGACCAACACTGCGAAATGAAATTCGGTAGTTGGACTTACGATGGAAATCAGGTAAAGTGTTAATTTACATTACAACACATACAAACATACCTGCAAACATGAATACATACAGACATATATAGATACTGCATAGCAACACGTACATGCATATCACATTACAAACATATATACATACATACGCGTATTCATGCAAACATATTCCATGTCAGCGAATGCATTCAAATTTTTCTCTCTCCCACACACTCCCGCGTTCACGTGAAAGCTTGCTCGAAAGCTTCATTTTTCGCCTGCAGACGACTGTAGTCTTCGGACATAACATATTTTGAGGCTTTTTTATTTAATATGTATTTTTTTTTTAGTTTAATTCTTTTTTATTTAAAGCTTAAACGCAAAAAAATTAATCTCTAAGATCACTTTCAATATTCGAAAAGTAAATCTGTTTTTTCCTTAACGAGTTCTAGACACCTCAACTAAACATTTTCCTTAAAAAATTATAACTACGTACTTAACACTAAACTAGTTCTAGCATACAATGCCTTTCAAGCTTGCAAAGCTTTGCATTTTCTTTTTTTTTCATATCATCAACAAAATTTTCAAATGATACTCTTTATCGCATTGGCTTCGAGCCTTTAAGCTCCACCAAACTATTTATATGTATACATATAAACTTAAATTTCCCTTGTTTTATGATCTTTACCTACAATTTTTAAATTTTCCACAAAAGCTTTGAGCTCTGAAGCTCAATCAAACTGGTAATGCTTTTTGTGGATATAATTTGATTTAAAAGTGATTGTTTCTATTGCAATTATATTTAACTAAACATTAAAAAGCTTTAAACCTGTTGAAGGCTTTTGAACTCCTCCAGCTTTGAAATTGTTTAAATGCCTTCATTTAAAGCTTTTAAAAGGCTTTCTTCGTGATAGCTTTAAGCTTTAACGCTTACTTAAACCATTCGTGTTTCTTTATATACGCAGATTTCAAATTAATTTGTTTTTATATTTTTAACTGCACTTTTAAATGACGTTTTTGCTACATTAATTAGAGCTTTTAAACACCCTTACATTTGCGGATGAAATGTTGAGCTTTTAAGCTCACTAAAATTTTAGGCTCAATCACAAATGTTTTTCGAAATGAAGTTTGTCTGTGAAAGTAGTTTTGAGCTTTTAAGTTCTATTGGAATTTTAAAATATAAAATACTTACTTATATATAATGCAAAGCAGGTATCATCTAATTATTAGATACGTTTTCTTCTTATAGTTAGTTATGAGCTTCTTAAGCTACGTAAGGCAGAAAAGAAAAGAGGCATTTTTTGAACTTGAGGCAGGACTTCAAAAATATTTAAAGAAGTAACTGTAAAGTTGCCTTTTCAGCAGAATTTCTTAAAATACAAAAACTGTTAAATACACGAAAATCTAAAAGCACTTTTCACTCAGTTTGTGATCTATTTATAGTTTTTCGTGATATTTGTAAGCCTCGTAAGTCAATTTTCAAAAGCTCTAAAAAATAACACCATACGCTTTGGCTTCTGCTACTAAATTCATTAATTAAAATAATATTACGCAAAAAACTTAGAAAAAGCTCTCAAGCACGCAATTAATAATTAAGCACGATTTTGGTGTAATTATTTTTCACAATAATAGCATAAAATTGAAACTGGGATTGCATAATTGAGACGCGAAAATTGTCAAATATGTAGGTATATAAGTAAACACAAGAATCTTTTTTAAAGGTATTTCTGGCATTTACATCTTCAACTAAAATCTTCCTAAATTTAAAAGCTTCTTAGATCTAAAAGCTCCATAAATCTAAAAGCTTCTTCAAAGTTTCTTAGATCTAAAAGCTTCTTAAGTCTAAACGCTTCTTATATCCAAATAAAACGTAATTATTTTCCGATTTAAACTTCAGTTTGACTGATTGCGAGACACATTTTTCGAAAGAAAAAGGTCATATTTTTAGTAATACACTCGTATATACTATGTTCTTTTTATAATAAATGAAGGTTACGTAGACCTTTTTTAAAAAAGGCCAAACAAAAAGCATGAATAGTTAAAGTTGACTATATTATGTAGACGCAAAAACAAATTTGGTAAACTTTTTTTTTTCTTCCCGTCAGTCCCTAAAAATACAACCCTGGAGTTATTGAATTTCTCAAAGCTGTTTTATAAGAACTCAAAAAAGGTCGAAAACATAGGAACACACTTTTTGCCAAAGTGATTTCGTTGTTTTAGTAATTTAGGAACCATTTTTATTTTGAATTAGTGTAGGCTTAACAAGAAATCTTGTTAAAATAATTATCCTGATATTGTTTAATTACGTCATTATTCACATCATTCCAGACTAATTTTTAAATAAAAATACTTAAAATTTTTCATTTAAAAATCAAATTCATTAAATTTGAAAACTTAATAAAAAAGAGTTTAGTACTTCAAAGTAATTTATAATTTAAAACCAATGTTCCTTTTTTCGTTTAATTTTAAGTATTAATACATGTAAAATTGAAATTGCGTTTTCATAACTTTTGTACTAAATCATACATCTCTTGGTATGTAGCTTTTATTTTAATTTCCAATGCCTTGAGCTCCAGATACCTACTTATACTATCTTTACTTACTGCTACTGTAACATTTTAAACAAATACTTTCGTATTTACCGCCGATATACCCAAGCGTGTACCTGCAGTAACCCTGTACTAAGTATGTAGTACTAAATGCTTAACTTTTCTACTACCTTTTTTTTTGTACCTAAGCAGACGCTGCTGTCACCTGCTGCTACAACCCACACGCCTAAACCAGTTTAATAGTTTTAGAAAATAAAGTTAATACGCTTAATTTTTACTGCTACTTTTTACGAATTATTACTACACCACTACTCTTTTAAAACGATAAACTCTACAGTTAATCACTTATTATTATTTAATTTTTTTTTTATATATACTGCAAACAAACTTGAAACTAGAAAACAGTTCACTGCGTTTTTGTGAATTGCAAAACCAAAACACAAGCAAATAAACAAACGAAAAAAGTACAAAAAAAAAGTAAACAACTGCCTCAAAATACAGTGTGCCGACGCAAAACTGTCAACCTCTTAGGTTGGTAGTTTTCTGTTGACACCCACTGTAGAGCAAAAAGAAAAACACGAATCTAATTTAGGTAAACGCTAATTGGAATCATGTGTGAAAAGCGAATTTTTTCGAAATAAGATAAAATATTTTTCCAGCAAAAATGTTTTGCGCGAAAAATATAAAAACAAAACTATTAAAAAAAAACTCGAAAAAATTACGCTTTCAACTATTTTGCATGGAGAGAAAGAAAGCAAACAAATTTACCGAACCACGCCCAAATTTTTTTACCACCAAGAAATGAAGAAGAAGAAGTGATTTTTTTATGTGCAAAAAATTTGGACGTACATACGTACGTAACTACTCTTAATGAAAGACAAACTAATTTTTTTGCTACTTCCCCGCATAGAAGTTCTGAGGGAGGGCGTGTAAATGTGAGAAAAAGAATTTTATTCTCAATAACAATGTCATTGCCCACTCTCCCTCTATTTTTTTTAAGCACACTTCTGCCATGGGAAGAGTATAAATCGCACCTATAAAAGTTACTCTCTTAAAATCAGAATACTCCCTACTGTACATACACTAAAAAAAAACAATGTTTCACGCAAAGTTTGACAGCTTGATTGACAGTTGCAAGAAGTTTGGTATAAATACGGCACTTTAGCGAATTTTCACACAAAAACTTCAAACAAATATTAGTTTTTTTTTTTTTTTTAATTTTCATTGCTTCGAAAATTAAGCATATAATAAATTAAGAAAGTTTAAGTTAAGACTTTCAACTGTTAATTAGCTGTCAATTTTACGCAATTTCTATTTTACTCAATAAATATTTATCTCACGCACTTTACGCCCAACTTTCTCACAAATATTTTTTGTATACACCTCACTCTTTCAACATACACTCTTCTACACCACACATACATAAATAAATGCTACAATTTATCCTTAACCCACCCATACTTCAAACAAACATATGTGTTGTTCTCTTCAATGTTGCCTTGGTTCTTTTTTACAATATCTTTTTGTAAAAATCAACTACTTTGCAATATTTTGTGTTAAAAAATGTATTGAAAAAATAAATATTAATGTAATTTTTGAATTTTCTCTTTCCCCACTTTGCCCGAACCGGAAAAAACTACAACACTACAACCTGTCAAAAAACAACACAAACACTAAACGCCTTTTCAATCCGTTACAAATGCAACCCTGCTACTATTGACACTCTCGAAACTTTAACAAAATTCCTATTGTACAAAAAAAAAATTATTTTGCAAATTTTTGTGTTCGCACAAAACTTTGTAAATTCAAATATAACTACACAAAAAATTACAACCAAAAAAACAGTTGGATTTGGTTTTGAATTCCGAAGATGGAGGGGATCTTTCCGATTTCATAACAAATGGCGAGTGGTATCTGCTTGGTTAGTAAATTTTCTTATTAACTTTTTTGTGTGAATTTTAGTGTTTTTTTTTTCGTAATCGTTTTTTTTTTACCGATAATTATGATGGCTTTGTATGTTTATGTGCTCGATGTAACTGAGTTTTAGTGTACAAAATTATAAATGATTAGTGTACTTTTTATTTTTGAATACTTAGTTTTTATTATTTAAAATTTTTTTAAGCTTGCGCAGTATTGAAATTTAGATGAAAAAGTAGAAAACTTTTAAGAAACTTTTGAATTTAAGGTTTTAAAAATGGACGTTTCTAGATGAAAAATAAATTCAGTTATATTAAATAACATTAAATAGGATGAAAATAAAATTTAAGAAAATAAAATAAAATTAAATTAAATTAAATTAAATTAAATTAAATTAAATGCGATAAAAAACTAAAATTAAATTAAATAAACTAAAATAAAATTAAAGTAAATGCAATCAAAAAATAAAGTAACATTTAAAAAAATACAGAAGAGTAAAACAAACAAGTAAACAAAAAATAAAGACTAAATAAAATTAAATTGCAAAAAAGAAATAAGTAATTGCCAATGCATCATCAAAACTTTCGTCACAGCAGTGGTATGTATATGTGGAGACTAAAATACTCCACTCACTGTATTGTAAGCAGAACTGACGCGCTCTGCACTGAGAATATTAATTTTCTGTCTATGTTTGGGTTCCATAAAGTATCATCTGAAGCCGCACAGCATCTTTGAGATATCCAGGAAAGAAGTTCCGCAAAACATGTCTTTCGATCAACCTGATTTTCTTTCGAATCCTAGTAGACTTTAGAATGATGTTTTTTCTAATTAAGCTCTAGAAGAAGTGACCCACAAAAATTTCAGCCGCTTTCTCTGGAGTGCAGCTTGCCTAAATGGCATGTAATCAGGTGGTCAAGTGTCCCATTAGTATTCCGCTGAGCAGCCGAACGTTAGCTCACAAAACCTTAGCAATTTCTGCTTTGCAGTTTTATCCATTTGCTGCTAGTAGCTTCNTTTGTGAGCCTTAGCAATTTCTGCTTTGCAGTTTTATCCATTTGCTGCTAGTAGCTTCTAGAGTAATTTTTCCAGCTTGTGAAATCAGGAATAGCCTGTAGTATGATTCGGGTGGTTCCTTATCCTTATCCTATATCAGATCGATTCCCGGAATACCACTGTGTCTTGGGAGAACCAATAAATTAACTATATGTAAATATGTTGTTGATGAAATCGTCAGGTTATCGAGTTAGGCGTTACCGACCTCAGAACGTTAACAGCAGGTCAAGTGTCTTCAACAAAGGCCAGTTTTTATGGTGCTAGGTCCATCATGGCTACTAGTTTTGCCGACATGTCAATTGCATACATCTGAGCCTGAAATATGCTGGATCTGAGGGCGAATTTTGGAGATATCTGCGAAGATCGTGATTTCGAGAAAAAAAGAGAAATTTTATTAAAGTAAATAAATTGAAATTAAATCAAAACAAATAAAATTAAGTGGAATGAAATAAAAAAAAACGAAAAAAAAGAAATGAAATTAAATGGAATGAAATAAAATTAAAATTAATTTAATTTAATGTAATTTTAAGAGTAGATATGAAACTAAAACAATTTGCATTCCTTCTTGCCTTTTTTTACTCTTCATTATACAACTTCTCGATTTATTAACCCTCAATATCGAATTAAGAAACATCCATTTTTAAAACTGCCAAATTGCTTTGAAATTTATTCGTAGTCAAAATTTTGTATCATTTGAGTGGTTCGAAAATTTAAAATTTTCACGCCTATGCAAAATTATTATTATTTATTGCTCACTGTAAGTAAGTTTGCTGAATGTTTTTACCCAACTACTTCCAAAACCAATTCACGTCTCGCTAATAAAGTATTATCTCTTCTCTCTCTCTCTCTCTCTTCCCTTTTCACTGCAATCGATTTAACAACCAAATTTTGTTATTTAATACCCCCAAAAAAATTGCCAAATCTGTTACTTTTTAATCGAAAATTAAATATATTTTTATATGGCCCCAAAAAAAATATATATAATATATATATATATTTGTGTATATAATAAAACTCATTAACATTCGACGTGCAAAAACAATAACGACCAACAACACACCCGTCATATATGTGTACAACAACAGCCATGCCGGGCAAGAAGAATACCATCGTCTACGCCTGCTGCCCGGAACCCTATGTGGACGTCACATTTACGATACAAATTCGACGGCGTACATTATATTATTTTTTCAATTTAATTGTGCCGTGTGTGCTGATATCATCGATGGCTTTATTAGGATTTACACTACCTCCCGATTCGGGCGAAAAACTAACATTAGGTGAGTAAATGTTATAAAAATAAAATATATGAAAAAAATTTAAAAATAAAACAGTCCATTTTGTTTATTTAAGACAAATTTACAAACATTTATTTAAGATTCACATATACATACATATCTGTATATAAATTTTCTCAAGTGACATTTCAGGTGATCTATAGCCAAATAACGCAGCCATAATAAGTTGAAGTGGTAAATAAGAAACACCTTTTTTTTAGCACAAGAAAAATAATTTATATGCGCGGTTACCCATTACGAATACTCGTAGCACGAAAATGTGAGGTTATAACTTTATTTTTTATTTGTGTACCAGCGCAGCTCCACTTGCCAGCTTAATCTGCGGTAGCGAAATGAGGAAATGCTGGATTTTAAATAATTATAGAAGTTTATACATTAAATAGGATATGTAAATTAGAGTGTGTAGCATAATTTAAACATAAACATGCATGAAATTTAAATAAAAACGTTAAATTATGGTTAACGCTGGAAAATTGTTGCACAGGGCTTAAAAAGAATTAATATTTCTGGAAGTTAATACCGAAGGGCTACACTCTATGGCGAGACAAAAATTGGGATTAAAGCGCCTAAAGGTATGCACCACTAGGCGCCAATGCATCTTGTGACCTTCCATTACTTAGCTTATGTAAGCAATTCTCACCCACTGTACTACAAAGTCTGTTGATAAAGCAAGCTCTCGCGACAGTTTACTATATTAACAAGTTCTTCAATATGACTTCGAATCGTAAGGCTGAACTTTTTTTTTACTTTCAAATGGACTTGACTCTACTTTGCCATTTGGTCATTCGGCTTAAATCATTCTACCAGACAGTAAATGGCTATTTCACGGCTATGTGAACTTATTAAACCCTCGTGCTTAAGCAAAAAACTTTCAAACATTATGTCACTCAAATATTCGTTTCTTAACCCCGAACTTCGGTCTGCTCTTTTCCCTAAACCTATGTGGCTCGAACCTGACAAGGCTACATAGGTTAGGTTAAGATGTTTTCCCTTCGAAAAGGAGCACAGTTAGATCATGAGCACTACGAACGGTAACTGCTAGGTGAAAGTGAAAATCGCTAAGTGCCGAGAATGAAGTTTCGAAGATGGCAGGTATAAAATCCTCACCTCGAACCCAGTTAGAAAGCACGATCCCATATGTCTAAGCCGCAGTCTATCGAATGCTGGGCAGTTTAAGAGGAAATGAGATGCCCCCACCTCGTCATCCTCATTGCAGCTCCAAAAAAGAGGGTCTGAAGTTATATTTAGTCCCTAGTCAATCGAATCACCACAGTTGAGACACGTCCACCCTCGGCCAGAACGACCTTGCAGTGGTAGAAGCACTGGTTTGCCTCCAGCGTACGCTAAGTTGGCGCGATCCCGTCTTTCCAATAGAATTTCTTAAGTAGTCAGGGAACTTCTACTCCGTCTTTTCTGGGTGATACTGGCTTGAGGGTGCCACTTCTGACTAGTTCATCAGCCACGCAGTTTCCTGCGCCATCACCATTGACCTGGCCCCCATGCAAATCTGCTAAGGTTACACTTCGATGCGAACGAAAGAGAATTTAGGCATTCCTCTACTAGCATCGAGCAAATCCAACGCTCTGAAGGACGACTCGCTGTAAACCGGTGTAGATATTAATATCCTTTACCATCGACTGCTTCGTTTCAAGGTGTCTGGGAAACACTACAGTGATCTGGAATCCTAAATCTTGTGCTGATCCCAATCCCTCCTTCAAGCTTCGATCCATCCGTGTAAATGTTCATCGGTGTCTCATTTCCACCGCTACCCCCGTCCACTCATACCTTGTTGGATTGTGCAAGTCCAGGCTATATATATTACAAATTATCTTCAAGGTAAGATTGAAACAGGTCAGAGCCCTCTCAAATGGTCAAACTTTGGTTTAGGAGTCAATGAGAGTGACGGACTCGGCATTGGTTTCTTGGTTAGGTTTCGGTAGTTTACCCAAGCAACGGAAGCACTTGAGCTTGAAGGATAATGTCCTCTATGACTCCACGAAAATTTGAACGGGACACATTACTTAGCCAAACATGGACCGCGAGCTCGAGAGCTCATCAGCTTTAGTTAGTGTAATATAGCATAGCACACTTTTATGTGACGTGCCCTTTAGCACACTTATGTGTACTTATGTGTCTTGACCTTAAGTACGTATAATATTGCGCTGCCTCTCGAACGCTCCATTGTTAATAAACCCAACACTAGAATTATCGATATGGCTCATTCCATCTCAAATCACCCAGGCCGGGGGAAAGTGAATTTAAGTTTGCCATAAAACTCGCAGGGATTGTTCCTTGAACAATTTAAGGAGATACGTATTTTTTCTTTTTGCTCAGAAATGCGAATTTTTCAAATAATGAATTTTTTTCTTTTTGAGTACGAACGCTTCTTTTTTTCTCTCTTAATAGCAACTTTTGATGAAATCGTTTATAACTGCCGCAAAAAAGCAAGGATTTTAACGATTTTTTTTTTT